TCAAGTTTTATGAGCCTAGATGAGGTATATATGTAAAAAAAAAAAAAAAAAGTAACTTATTTTTATTATTATTTTAAATACTTAAACATTCTAAATATCATTTAATAATAAAATAATACATACAAAACATGTATAATTAGAAATACTATATCTAGTTATTTACCAAATAATTCTTACAATTAGTCAATTATATAATTTTCAAATTTTCGAAATACGAAAGTTAGATTGTTTTTCAAAATTTTATCTTTCAAATAGACAAGTCCTACTTTACAGATCTATTGAAACTTCATACATATTTTCAAAGTTTTTAACGATAAGATAAGTTTCAAAATCATAATTACATAGCACCATAATTTATAAAGTCATTTTTTTAACTTTCGTATAGATAAAGTCATTTAAAATTCTGAAATTGAAGTCGAATAAATATTTTTTTAAAAGGGGAAAAAAGTGTGTCGAGGCACGCATTTTCGAGTTTACTATCAAGGCAAAACGTTTTGCCCCATCTAGGTGTGCTTTTTAGAACACTAGTTAATATATCTCGATTCTACTCCTCTCCCACGATATGTTACTTGTGCACTTGGAGTGCAAGCGTTAGATGCGCAAGATCAGAGTCTCTCCAAGCGCAAAAAATGAGGGGAGGTCACGATCCTACGATCTTCAACGCTCAAGTTAATCAAAAGGACAATGGTAAAATATTGAGTGCATGAGTAATGCTAAAAGGGGAAGAAAATACAGGAATCGAGTTTGAATCGTAGAGAAAATTATCAAGATTGCAACTTCAAATGACCCTAAACATGAATATTTATAGGCAAAAGAAATACACGGGGATTGCAATTACCTTCAATTTTGTAATTAACAAATTTAAATTGCATGTAATATGATTACTATACTGTTTGTAATATGAATTGCACGGGATGCAATATCGTTACTGCATTGTTTGTATTTGAATCATAGAAAAATAATAATCAACCATTGCATTACAACTCCTATCTTATAATACAACTAACATTTTCAAATTAAATTCTTAAAATTTACATTATCAGAATGGATCGACATAGAGTGTGAGTTGCAATTTCAAAAATTACAAGAAGATCTGGTATTCCTTCACATAGCCTTTAAATAACATCTTCAATCGTTGGTAGTTTGAGGGTGGCACACGTCCATCATCTCGAGTTTCTCTGGGATGGAGTTGTATTAATTCAGTGAATTCAAAATCAGATAATCCAGTCCCAAGTATAAGTAGTTGCAGCTGCATGTTCAAAAAAGACCTATTCGTCTCTATTTCTATAACATGTTCAAGTTCTATGTGTTAGGTTTTTAGTTGTATTGGCAATTCTCTAAGCAAAAAGATTATTATAAAATAATTGTAAAAGTCAAGGAGTTTTTTTGGAGTGTTGTATAGATGAACTATGAGTTTTTTGGTTCGAGTATGGAATATGGAGAAATAGTTGTCGGGATTATGCTAGCCTACCGCCAAGTTGAAGCTCGAGCGCCCAAAATAGAAACATTGCCGAGAAACCCTAGTTCTCGATTTTCAGGGGTTCTATCTATTTTATACTACCCAAATACCCCATATTATAAATACACAATGCCCATTACGTTTTTGTACGGTGGTTGATCATTAACATACATTTTTATAATATCATTTCAAGATCCAAGAACACATCCAAGCATTGAGATTAAACATTTGATTATTGAGATCAATCAACCATAAGTTGAGAAAAATATCAAATTCAAATAATTCAAAACACTCACTTCCTAAATATAATCGGGAAGGTACTTTCTCAATAACCTTCAAAGGTTGTTGAAGATTGAATGAGGTTGGACCAGAAATACAAAAAAAGTACAAGAGTAACGTGTTCTTGGTAATCCATGAGAAATAGACCATTCCAAAAGATCAGGCGCAGGTGTGAGTGAAGCACATTCTAGTGGATCTTGGAGATTGTAGGAATTCGATCGGTGAGTCTAATGGATTTTCCAAGTTGGATCATATTGTAAGTTCTTATTGTCTATAGTGGAGGTTACTGGCTTGATTTTAGAGTTTTTATCTAATTAAGGGTTTTCTCCGTCAACAAATCTTGTATTATTTACTGTTTTATTAATTATTGTCACAATTCAACATAGGATAAAATTACCTTAATTAATTAAACATCTAAAACAATTAAAATGTGACTTGTTACTTTTAATTGATAATTTTTAATTTCGCGTTATTCACCTATTGACCCCCAGGTGATTTTAAGGTCGAACTCGTAACTTTCACTATTGGAAAGCTAGTGAGGTTGCGATCCTTTCTTTTAAGCTTCAAATAAAAAACCAGTGATATTTTATGTGAAATCGTCATTGGACCTATTGTTAGATTGACTTGATACTTTATTTTTATAGCAACCTCCGATTGATCAAACTTTATTTTAACATAT